GATGAGATGCAGCGGTAGTGAATTCCCTAACTTGAACTCAGAGAGACCTCTTTCAGGACCTACGGATATATCATAGTGTCAATCTACGATGTAACTTCTACAATCAAAGGGGTTATTGGGCTAAAACCTAGGTACTGCTCCATCTTATCACAGTGAAGGAAACTGGTATCGTGCTATACCTTGAGCGTCCCAGTGCTGATGCACAGGTGCAGGGTGGAATCGGGACAAAATGCCATCTGTTTCTCCTGCAACATCCCCAGAGCAGTGCTCTCTGGGTTGGCACAAGAGATGTCCTGAGATCTGGGTTGCTTGTTAATCACCTTCGATCACTGTAGAGACAAAAAGAGGGAAAACACCATATCATCCTGTTCTGTGAAGAAAAAATGCATCAGCATAAGACATTTTTATTAACGGTTTATTATGAGATCAAATGAAACTTAGAAGAAATCTACAGATCATACAGTCAAAGCATAACTGGTGCTTACCTGCACTGTGGTCAGGAAAACCGTCAGCCTTGATAGAGAGAATGCTTTTTTTCCACCTCCTCATAAAACAAGTTCCCAGTTACAGAATTTTTCAAATTGAATAAATCCCTAGTATTATGTTTCGAATCAAATTATTTTAGTTGATGGAAAAATTTTTTTTTTGACAGGCAGAGTGGACAGTGAGAGAGAGAGAGACAGAGAGAAAGGTCTTCCTTTGCCGTTGGTTCACCCTCCAGTGGCCGCCGCGGCCGGCACGCTGCTGCCGGCACACCGCGCTGATCCGATGGCAGGAGCCAGGAGCCAGGTGCTTATCCTGGTCTCCCATGGGGTGCAGGGCCCAAGCACCTGGGCCATCCTCCACTGCACTCCCTGGCCACAGCAGAGAGGTGGCCTGGAAGAGGGGCAACCGGGACAGAATCCGGCGCCCCAACCGGGACTAGAACCCGGTGTGCTGGCACAGCAAGGCGGAGGATTAGCCTAGTGAGCCACAACGCCGGCCGGAAAATTTTATTTAAGACTTTAAGTCAGAGATGGGAATATTTTATGTGTGTATGTATATACATACACGTATACATATATGTCTATATGACCATGTGAAATGCTTGTACTTTCGGGAATAATAGTTTGCCTATTTCTGCATCATAGGTACAGAAGTGCAAAATATCTGGGTGTCTAATCATTTCCTTCCTTTTTATATCAGACCCTGTAAAAGGCAAAGAGCAGGTAGGGCTGGGGAATGTATCTTTGTTTACTGCCATCTTCCTGTGGCCAGTTGGGTGGCTGAGAAAGATATATTCCCTGGAGACAAGGTTGTCTGAATTAAAAAGTCAACTGTTTGACTTCCCAGTGTACAGTATAAAGTGAGAACACTATTCATCCTTCTTGAGTCCAAGGTCATCATCCTTAAAATGGTGATCATAAGACTATGTGTCTCTTAGTGTCATATTTTAGATTAAATTAGTTAATGCACAGACAGTACTGATATTGAACCTGGTACATGGCACATTCAATACTTTTAGGAATTGTCAGCCCCTTCCTAAAGAAGGAACCCTTTGTTGAGCAATCCCAAGGACTAATGAAGGTGTTAATGTGTGCCAGTGGATTAAGGTTTTACTCAGGAGAAATTAGTAGCCAAAACCCAAGAACTTCAAAAGGAAGTAACATAAAAGGTAATTTTATTTTAGTGCACAATTTTTTTTTGCACTAAAAATCCACAGTGTTTTTTTCTCTTAATATGCATTTTCCTTGAAGTCATTGAAGACTCCTTAAGTGCATGGGTTTCAACAAATTGTACACCAAAATCAGTTCATCTTTTAATTCATTTTCTACAAAAAATCATTTGAAGTACTCTGTATGTTTGAGGATGAGGAGGAGGAAAGGCCTTGTAGTACTTCCCAACTTTACCACATCAGTGGTTAGAAATTTGCCTGCTTGTTGTTCACATCAAGTCATTTAACAGATATGAGCTCACTGATTCTACATGCTGACTACAAGAGAGCAGGGATATGCTAAATACAAAGATGAGGTGTTGCAGTTCCAGTCAATACTTGGTTCCCCATAGTTTTTGCTATGGTGAAATATCTGTTTGATAATTCTCTATGGCTCCCTAATCGTTCAATAGCATTGCAAATCCCAGGGTTGGTGTTCATGAGCCTCTGCAATCTGTCCTCCAATATTTTCTCCAGCAATACCACTATGCGTTTTCTTCGCTTTCATTCTTTTCATCCAGCCAAACATTAACTGCTTGCAGTGTTCTCAGATACCTCTCACTTTGATACTCCAGAGCTTAGCTCATGCCCACTCTTGTTCCTGGGTGGACATATGACTCACTTCTCAAGGTCTAACTGCTATGTTAGCTCTCTCATAAAGTATTCCTTGCTCATGTCCAGAGGTTGGTTGTCTTTTATATTATAAAATGTTGCCAAAGTTATTTTTTGCCCAGAACTTTCAAAGTTTCAGCTAGAATTACAATGAGTAATGTGTTTTGCATTGACACATGTTGTCCAGACTCGGACACATACACATTCCTAAATCAAAGCTTCATGTAACAAGCCTCCATTGTTTGCAATAGGGTCTAGTATTGTCTCATTTCTTTTTTACTTGGCAGAATGCTCTGATTGCAATCCACTAAAGAGATTGAATTATCTTTAATTGTATCACAATGTGCAGTTTGAAGAATAATGGTCTACACAACTCATACAGAAAATCATGTATTACCTACTGCACAGTCATTATGTTCCCTACCAGACTGCAGTTATTCAAGTGTTATACAGTGTATATATTATGACGTCTGTATCCGTATAAGTAGTTGCCCAGTAAACATTGTGGAAACAGGAAAGAAGGAAGGAAGGGAGGGAGGAAGGAAGAGAGGGAGGGACTAAGGAAGGAAGCAAAAGAAATACTTCCAGGGATATTGATTATTCTCAGAAAATTAGGTTGCTAATATTTTAGAAGTCAACAGATGGATATCATTCAAACCACTACAGGTGAATTTTCCAGTTTAAGTGGTTTACCTCTTTGAGTAATTTCTTCAACTTTATTGTAAGCTTAGAAATTAAGGTTACATCATGGAATCTAGGACTAAATGAAAGATAGCCAAAACAACAGGATTAATACATAAAATATAAGCTTGTAGAGGCTGCATTCCTGGCCCTTGGTGCATACTAAGGGGCAGGGATAGGACCAAGGATGTGACGTGCACCTGAAGAGATGAAGAGAGCTTTGACTCGATTTCCATAAATCCCGTGCAAATGCAATTCTGTCACTTCTGTGTGCGCTGAACACGTCTCTCTGAGCTGAGTACATCAAGAGATTTCTGATAACTGTGTCTATAAACAAAGTCAGTGCTAAGGACCAACACTCCTGAGTTCCTCAGGGTTGTAAATGGAACAGCAAATATACTCTTAACTCATGACATCTGAGATAGTGCTTTTCAGTAACATGACAGATTATTTTTGTTTTTAGACTCAAAGAGGAAATGTTGACTATAATTTAAATTTGAGAAATTATACTAATGCTATATATTTTTTATAATTACATAGACAGTTTGAGATATAAAGATAAGACTTTATTACTCAAAGTCCATCATTTTAACTATTATGCATATGGTACAAGTACAGTGTAAGGAGCAAGTAATGACATGAAAATACCTTTCATGGATGTGAATGCTTTTTCCAAACCCTTGTTAAACATTCTTTTGTTGCATTTTGATCTTTAACATAACAGTGAATGTCCAGAGATGAGACCAGTAAAATACTGGATTAAAAAGATTATATTAGTGCTAATAAATTACAGCAACTTAATGTGAAGCAGTATTTTTATGGCAAAAAGAGTTATTTCCTACATACTTCACTTTAAAAATTTAATAATGAAGTCATGATTCTGCCAACTCAAGCTATTACAGACCAATCTCTGCACATATTTCAATGGAAATTTTAGGAATTATGATGAAAAAAAACCATGTAATATGCCTTCTAATATAGTCCTTTCTTTTCTTGCCTTTGGTTGTCAAAGCATTGTTGCAATTTAGAGAAATAAATGACTTGAAAAATACAGATTTATGGTGGCTGTATCACCAAAAATTTAAACATGTTGAGACTGTTGAATTTCTTTGAAATATGTTATCTTTCTTTGAAGTGTATCTCTGTATGTAATATGTAAATACATGCACACAAGCACAGAGGAACAAAATGTATGTGAGCTGAAGAGCACTTCCTATCAAGAAGATTTACAAAGGGGCAGGAACTATGGCACAGAAAGCTAAACTCCTGCTTGGGATGCCTGCGCTCACATTTCACAGTACAAATTCAGGTTCCAACTACTCTGCTTCCCATAAAGCTTTTTGTTCATGTGTTCTGGGAGTCAATGGATGATGGGTCAAGTGCTTAGGCCCCTGCCACCCACATGGGAGACTTGGGTGTGGTTCTGGGCTGTTGGCTTCAGTCTCACCCAAACATGATTGTTAAAGGCATTTGAGGGGTGAACCAACAGATAATCTCTGTCTCTGTGTCTTTCTTTCTGTATCTCTCTGCATTACAAGTAGATGAAAAAAAAAAACATTAAAAAAGAAGGTCTGTACTAATATGGTCCTCTTGCCACTTAATTTTAATGTCTGTGAAAAGGTTTAGTAAAACATCCACTGCATAGAGTACGCATTTTAATTATTACACATAGCAGTTAGTTTAATTGGCTTAAAATGTTAAATTTTAAATTTACACATTCAGTCTCTATTAGTTTTCTGAAATAGTGTGTAGTTTCAGACCCACAGACTGTTCCTGCTAGCAGTCCTAAAAATTTATGCTCTTGATGAGAAGCAGATGGAATGAGTGAATGAGTATTGAGTTAACATGAATTCTTATAACTAAGAAATTGATTTCAAATTCATTCCCCACTGACCGGATGAGCAGCAGTATGTATACAGTGTTCTCATATAAACATACTGTTCTATTGATCTATTGACTGGCAAAGGGAATGTAAATAATGTAACCACTTTAACATAATTTACTTTCTTTTCAGATGTTATAAATATAGCTACCCCTAGAGTGTCATCATCAAATTCTACAACACAAACATCTGTATCAACACCAAACACAACACTAGCACCTAATCTTGAAAAATCAACACGTGGAACATCTCCTCAAGGTAAGTTTAACATCTACTGGAATTTATTCCCATTTTGACAAAAAAAATAAGCAATTACATAACTTAATACAAGAAAATAATTTGAGGTCTCATAACTGATTGTTAAGGTCCGTGCTGTTTCACTGTTTTGAAATCCATGTGCTATTTTGGTTTGCATACAGAGCTCTGGGATCTCAGTAGGCTTCTTTGATGATATTCTTTTGGATCACTTCCTGTTTGAGAATGATCCTATTGTGAATACTATATACACAAAGTTTATTTTTAGAGAAGAAAAAAATTACCATGCACCAAGTCATAAAAATATCTTTCTGAAATTATAGTTCTCCACTTAAGCAGCATAACCAAAACAGTGAAACTATGCTAATAACAGACTGATCTTGTTGGTTGTATTGTGCAGATAATAAAATTAACTTGTGCTTTCAGCAGCAACATCATCATTCTTGTTACTGAACTAATAATAACAACATCATGTTTTTCTGGCTGGGTGTTAAAGGGGATTGCTTCACCATCCATAAGAATTTTAAATGCCATTAGATTCATTTCACTAAAAACCCAAGAGGTTAGTAGTTCAATACACTCTGCGTTACTCATCCTACAACACACATACAATGAGGCATCTCATTCAGGTTCAGTAAATAATGGAGAAAAAAAAATAGAATTTTTGCGTATTAGCAGAAAGTCCAGTTAAAATGCTAGGGCCACAGAAACACCAACAAAACACATACCTTGATGAATGATATATCATGGTATGTAATTCCTGCTGCTGCCTCTCCCACCTCTCCAAGCCCTCCCTTAATGTTCCTTCTGAGACCAAATTCAGTAAAAGCTTGAATGCAGTGGTGATTCTCAGAAATAAAGGCTATCATGATCTTGGACTACTATGTGCACAATGTTTGATTCTAAGATGGAACCAAACCAATTCTGCAGAATCGCTCCATCAAAGCAGAAGAAAGCATCACACAAAGAGAGCATCATGGGGCATTTCATTCTCGGAATATGGTACAACCTATGTATCCAACAAAGGGAAACTCCCAAAAGGCATGATCAGAAGCCATGGCCCCTGAGGCCTCCACTCAATTCTTGCATACTATATTTTTAAAAATGTTTAAAATTGTCACAGGCCTGTGTTCCTAGGATTTGAACAGAATAATCCCAGCACTTTTACAGAGTATAACTATATGTTTCTCTCTCTCTCTCTTTCTCTCTTTCTCTGTTTCTTTCTCTCTCCGCCAGTTGAGTCCTTGGCATAAAATTGGTACCAGTTTGACAAAAGCATATTATTTTTGCAGTCAGTAATGACACAGATGCTGTTGCTACAATATAGACCTAAAAGTTTTAAGTCATAAAACGTTTAGTTTTTTACAAAACTACGTGGGACAGTGCTTTCTCATTAGGTAGATTCCTAGCCGAGCCTATAAAAACTATCATGAATAACACCATCCAGATAAAAACACAAATCTGACCACTATGTTAAGCAGCCATGAAAAGGCAGATTTGGGGTCCAATGAAGGAATTCTGGCAGAATTATAACTTGCAGTAGCAGGAATGCATCCTACCTTGCTGTTTGTTAGAGCACATGTGAAGGATAACTGAGATATTTCTAGCAACTTTAGCTGTGGTGGCTCTTACAGTGGAAAAGCTCATAGGATGCCTAATTGTTTATGTACATACTCATATACACACTCTCACACATACACATTTATATGCCTTTGAATTCCTTTTGTTGGATACTTTGACCGATTGATACTACCTTAATAACCTCTGGTCTGTGTTTAGCTGAAGTTTTCCAGCTATGTTTTAAATTATTCACATGGAATTGTATAAATTCTAATAGTCCAGATAAATTTTACTTTTTATTAATTTTTATTATAAAATATTCAAATATATCCAAAAGTAGAGAATATTATGATTAATCTCCATAATCCCATCTCCCAAAATCAATACTTATCAATATTTTCTTTCTCATTTTTCCTTTCTTGTTTCCTTATCATGCTATTTTTCTTCTTGATTGCTACAGTATTTTGAAAGAAACCTAAACTTTGTATAATTTCTACTTCTACATAGTAAATATGCATCTCAACAGATATAGACAGTTTATTACAAAGCACCGTAATATCATCTAATGTCCATTTATAGAAGTTTTAAGCATTAATATCTAATAACCATGAATATGTCATGGGAGGGAATTATGGGAAGGAAGTTCATCCTGGAGTCTCTGAGAACCAGTGAAGAGAGTGACATTGGAAGGAGATTTTTTTTTATTTTTGCTAGAGTGTCTCGGCTTTCCATGCCTAAAATACTCTCATGGGCTCTTCAGCCAGATCATAATGCCTTAAGGGCTGATTCTGAGGCCAGAGTGCTATTTAGGACCTCTGCCATTGGAAGGAGATGAAGCAGCAAAGGCAACTCCAATGTCCACAACTCCTGGGGAAATCTGGCATAGTGGTACGGCTGGGTGAAGCTGTGAAGCAGCTGGGAGTCCATGGTATGGGAAAACTGTAGGAAAATGGAGGAATCACACAGGAGAAGGAAGACAAAGAAAGCAACTTCCTGCTATCTGGTTTGCTTGTTTCTCCTTGTTTACTAGGGGGTATGTGAGTTGTGCCATGTAGACTGGATATAGTCCATGCTCCTAAAGATAGTAAAATACACAGTATGCAGATAAGGGAAATCTTGCCTCAAGTTTTCATGCTCTAAGTAGTATCAACATACAAGGGTACTTTGAATCATTTGTGGGAAAATAAAATTAAAAGATGTTTACCACAAAAATTTTAAAATCTAAGCATAGTTTTTTCATAATATACATTTAGAGGAACTTTTTGAAGATCCCTCATATTTGGCTTCTTGATTTCAGGCGTGAGGATGTTTTAAATCTGGCAGAGTTGTATCCTTTGTACTATTCTCCAAAATAACCATGTATTTGTTTGAAAGGCAGAGTTACAGAGAAAGAGAGAGGAAGAGATGAGAGAGAGAGATCATCCATCCACTGGTTCACTCCCCAAATGGCTGCAACAGCCAGGACTGGGCCATGCCAAACCCAGGAACCAGGAGCTTCTTCAAGGCCTCCCATGTTGGTGCAGGGGCCCAGGGACTTGGGCCATCTTCCATTGCTTTCCCAGGTGCATTAGCAGGGAGCTGGATTTGAAGTGGAGCTGCTGGGACTTAAACTAGCACCCATATGAGATGCCAGTTTTGTGGGTTATGGCTTTAATTGGCTGAGCCACAGTGCCAGCCCCCAAAATAGCCATTTTTAAGTTACATGTCTTCTGCAACAAAGTAGATGCAACTTGAAATCATTATGCTTAGTGAAATAAGCCAGATCCCAAAAGAAAAATATCACATGTTTTTTCTAATTTGTAGTATATTAGTAAAAAAAAGTTATGTATAAGCAATTCTTATGCCTTCTTCCTAATGTCAACATTGTCCTTATGTTCCCACCAAAAATATATGACGTGAAGAAGCTACTTTATTTTCATTTTAAGGCTTTCTAATCAGACTTTCTTGATGTAAAGGTCAAAAGATATTTGGTTTAATAACGCTTATGTCTGTCTAAAGCACATGCATTTTCTTCCCATTGCCAATGGCAGAAATTCTGTCATCAGAAAAGTGGATAATGTGGAACTGAGATGACAATTCTCCCTACAGTGACACAGTCACAGTGGCAGAACTGATTGACAAAGCTTTGCCCGGAGCAGGACTTGCTTTCAGAGATTTATCCAATTAGAGAGCTGGGACTTAACTTTGCCCTAGATGTACATCAAGTGCACTGCACATTTTGTGCAAAGGGCAAGTGACTAGAGATAAAAATCAACATTTGGCAGACATTGAATGTCACCAGCATAAAATGCACATCTTCTATATAGAAATCAGCTCAATGAAACCGTCAAGAGTCAACATTTAAACAGCCTTCCACTAAGTTTTCTCCTATGATTAGCTGGAAGAAAAAAAATGGAATTGGTTACTTCATTTTGTTCCATGGTGGTTCTTTCTCCACTGTCTTTCTAAGTTTGAATTGAAAATTACCTACCTGGGATGTCATTGAACATGGGTTTTTGATTTCTCCTTTTCATAGGATACTGAAGTGATAAACGGACATCTTACTTTTAGTTTATCTTCACAAAATATGGAATGTATGCAAATTAGATATTTTCTTGAAACATTTGTGGCCTAAATGGAATTTAACATAAACACAAAAAGTTATTTTGGAAAACGTTACAAATTCTTATACACTACTAATTTTACAGAGAATAGAATTACAATGTTCTAAGGATTTATTCTTTTATAAATATTTGTTGACTCAAAATAATGTAATATCATTAAAGGCATGGATATTGTATTCTCTTAATGTTTACATTAACTTCAATCTGCTTCTCCAATTAACTGCTTCAAAATATTTAATCATTATTTTGCACAGAAAGTTAACAGAAATCATATTTATTATTAGTGCAGCATTTTTGGCTTTCAAAATAAAAATGCATGTACACTTTAGAATTTATATGTATCTAGCACATAAGTTTCAGTATAAAATATGCTTACTCATATTTCAAAGTGAAGATCCATACGTTAATAGAACATCAAAATAGTGTCCCTGTTTTTTGTTTTGTTTTGTTTTGTTTTGTTTTGTTTTGTTTTTTGACAGGCAGAGTTAGTGAGAGAGAGAGACAGAGAGAAAGGTCTTCCCTCCGTTGGTTCACCCTCCAAATGGCCACCACGGCTGGCGCGCTGTACTGATCCAAAACCAAGAGCCAGGTGCTTCCTCCTGGTCTCCCATGTGGGTGCAGGGCCCAAGCACTTGGGCCATCCTCCACTGCCTTCCCGGGCCACAGCAGAGAGCTGGACTGGAAGAGGAGCAACCGGGACAGAACTGGCAGCCCAACCAGGACTAGAACCTGGAGTGCAGGCGCTGCAGGCGGAGGATTAGCCTAGTGAGCCACGGCACCAGCCTCCTGTTCTTACATCAAAAAAAAAGAAAATGCTTACTGTATAAAGAGACAGATATATAAGTTAGCTTCATTGCAGTAATAATTTCACAAATTATGTATATATCAAAATATCACATTGTACACTTCTAATATATGTCAATTTTACCTCATGAAAGCTGGGGAAAAATAAAATAAACATATAAAATAATTTGTTTCACTTACAAATATTGTCTCACTGATTATTGCATGGAACAGTCACAAGATCACCATTCATACACAAGTTTAAGACCACTTGACAGGGCTGGCATTATGGCACAGTGTGTTAAAGCCACTGCCTACAATGCCAACACCCATATGAGCTCCAGTTCGAATCCCAGTCCACATCTCCACTGTAATGAGCATCTGGGGAGGGAAGCAGCAGATGGAAGATAATTCTCTCCCTCTCTCTCTCTGTTTCTCTCTCTCTCTCTCTCCTTCTCTCTCTCTCTCTCTTCCTTCTTGCTCTGTAACTCAGCCTTTCAAATAAATAAAATAATGCTTTATTTTTTTCAAGAGAGAACAATGAAAATGTGAGCTCTTTGGTTCCTCACTTTTGCAAAGTCCGAGGCTGAAACCGAAGCCGAATGGAAAACTCTGGCTAAATATTAAGTCCAAAGCTCAACCTGTACCTCTTCCCCTTATCAAACATAAAATCAGGATAGATATGAAATAAAAGGGTCAAGAGTTCTGAAGAAGTCAAAAGGTTACACACACTTGACATTTTCTCTGTTTATATTCACTATTATCATTATATGGGTCTAATCGACCTGTACTTTTTTTTTTCAAACAATATATGAGACAGAATTCAATGAAAGGTAGTTGGAAGCTGGTTGTGAAAGTTCAGTTGGACCTAATGTTGGTACCATGAGTCCAAGGATGGTGATGAAGTGAAACAACGTTACCATGTTGAGCTAAAGGAAACGTTCATTTATATCATTTTATCCTTATTTTAAGATGTTGGCATCATATGAGTAGGCAACTCAAAATCTCAAACCTAGCTTTAGGAAGACATGTTCATTTGTTCTTCCTTTAAAATATAACTACAGAAGAGTCTAAAAGACTTTCAGAAAGTCATACATGCTTAGACTCTCCAATACAATTACAGTATAATTCACAAATGCCTATGACAGCTTCTTTCCATCACTTCCTATATCCCCTGATAAGCAGTGAGGACAGAGGAGTTGGCAGGGGAAAAGCCCTTCGCTATCTGTGTGGAAGTTAGCCTTCAACATCCGCCACAGCTATGATCGATCTTCCTCTTGTGGTTCCTTAGTATCCGCCGACATAGTTTCAGCCAATTGACCCTCCAGAAAACTCCCCTCTGGTTTAGGATTTTAAAGCCTCAGATTCACTGTGCAGAGCCAAATGGTTCCTCCCTCAAATACGGTGTGCATACATTCAAGTACAAGAGCCAAGATTACATTTATGTCATATAGTAAATATGAGCTCTGCACCCTGATCACAAAAGGACATACTGAGATTCTTGTTAAAAATAGAATAAAGGATGTTGAAAGTTTTAAAGTGTTTTAAGAAAGAAAGGAATGCTAACTGTAACAGTGGGCGTCAACCTCTTATGCCTTGTTGAGTTCTTAAGGCAGATCTTTGTTATTATGGACCCTTCTGGCCTGTATGCCCATGCCTGCATTTCCTCAATGCCCACTAAATGCCAGGAATTCCTCTTGATAACTCTTTAAGTAAAAAGGTGACTAAATGTTGAATGCTTTCCCCAGGAGCCTAGGAGAGGCCCTAGCCCAGAATGGGAACTTAAAGAATGTTTCATGAATGAACAAGTAAATCACAGGCACTTACAAGTGGCTTTTTGACTTATGTTTCATTGCCATAACTACATAGACAAAATAAAATGTAGTGCTGAAATACAAACCATGATATTCCCGGATCCTATTAACCAGGTCAATTCTCCCACAGGGGAAAATAAAATAACTTAAAATCATTAGAGTTTAGAGTTTTTGTAACAATTTGTTGCATGTTTAATAATACCCTAGTAACATTCTATAGTGGAAATTTCCTTTTTGGGTCTTTCATACAAATATATGTGTATTTTGTTTTCTAAATTTACTCAAACATTCAATATTTCGATTCCTCTTTAGATGAAAAGGAGCCGGAAAATGGCAAAATTAAACTTCAACCAGTACCTCTGCAAAGGGATTCCGGTTCACATCCAGATTTCACTTACTTTCATTTATTCCTTGACAGGTGAAATGAGATTGTGATTAATAATAATGTCATCTATCTTATCAAACTAGGAACAACCAACAGCGAATCAGCAAAAACAACTCTGATGTCAACAGCTCCTTCATTAACAACAGTTAAAAGTGAAGGTGAGTGATTTGTGTTGCTAGCATTTAAAAGCCTGCATATAATTCACAAACCATAATAATCATTCTTTTAAAGTAAACAATTTGGTGGTTTTTATATATGCATTAGACTGTGTGACCGTCACCATTATCTAACTCCAGATACTTCATCTCAGAAGGAGACCCTGTATTCCTGTTCATTCCACATCCCGTTTCCTAGCCTCTGGTAACTAGGAACTTACTGCCTCTGTATGTGTATGCCTATTCTGGACCTTTAATTTAAATTGACTCACACATCATTTGACCTTTTGGTCTGGCTTCCTTAACTTAGCATAATCTTCTCAGTTTCATCCATGTTGTAGTATGTATCTGTAGTTCATTATTTTTTGTGACTGAATAATATTTCACCATGTGAATATAACACATTTTCTATATTTTCTAGTTGATGAGTATTTTAATTTCCTACTTATGACTATAAATAAATAAATAAACATTGTAGTTTCTCTCAGGGACACTGCTTGGGCTGGGATTGCTGAGTCATATGAGAACTTGCTGTTTAACATTTTGATGAACTGAGTTCCAAAACAGCTATTCATTCTTACCAGCAAAAAGATACTGGCACACAGCATGTGTTTTTTGTCCGTGTTTTTCAATTTTTTCATTCTAGTGGATGTGAAGTTGTATCTCATCATGGGTTTGATTTACATTTTTGCTAACCACTAACAATGCTGAACATATTTTATGTGCCTACTAGCCAATTACATATGTTCTTTGGAGAAATGCTTGTTCAAATCCTTTGCACACTTAAAACAATGGGCTATCTTTTTCATATAGAATTGTAGGAATTACATATTAGAGAATAGATCTTTATTATAGATAATTTGCAAATGTTTTCTTCTTTTCTGTGGTTTCTTGGTAGTCCTTTTTTCATCCTTTGAAGGATGAAAAGCTATAATTTTCATGGAGTACAATTTATCAATCCTTTCTTTTGTCACTTGTGCATTAGATACCAAATCTCAGAAACTTCTTCCCAATTTAAGATCACAAAGATTTTCATCAGTGTTTTCTTTTAAGAATTTTATAGAAGAGTAAAGTTTTAGTTCTTAAACTTAAGTCTTCAATTTGTGTGTATGGTGTAATGTAGATAGCCAACTGTATTCTCCCGCATGTAGCTATCCATTTGTCCTAGCACCAGTTATTGAAAAAAATGATTGCTTCCCCATTTTGTCATCTTCATATCCTTGATCAAAATAGGTGGGCATAAACATGAGAGGGTTTTGGTTTTTTTGAATTCTCAAATCTACTCCACTAATCTATATGTCCTTCATTGTGCCAGAATTACACACTATGGAGTAACTGTAGCTTTACATTAAGTTCTAAAAACATTAAATGTGGGCCCTTCAATTTTTTTCTTCCTTTTATAGGTTGTTTTATCAATTTTGAGTCACTTGAGTTTCACTACAGATTTTAAAATCAGCTTGTAAATTTCTGCAGAAAGCTAGCTGCGATTTTAAAGCATAGCGTCTCTATATCAACAAGGGAGTATTGCCGTCTTAACAGTGTTAAATTTTCCAATCTAGGAGCACAGGATGTCTTTCCATTTCTCTGTGTCTTTAATTTATTTTGATGACATTTAAAGTTTCCAGTGTGTAAGAACTGAACTTCTTTTGTTTAATTGATCTCTAATGTTTTTTCACGTTGATACTTTTGTAACTGGAATTATTTTTAATTTCAGGTTAAGAGTGTTCATTGCTACTGTATAGAGACACAAGCTGCTTTCATGTGTATTGGTACCTTTTTTTCAGTTTGTAGAACTTATTTACTGTTTTTACTTTGAATATCCTTTGGAATTTTTCTATATGCAAGGTCATGTCATCTGCAAATCATTTTACTTCTCATTTCTAGTTTGAGTGTCTTTATTCTACCACCTAATTGCCCTATCTAGAACTTCCAGTGCAATGTTGACTAGAAGTGGTGAGAGGGTATACTGTTGTTCTTCATTATTAGAGACTCACCATTAAGTATGATGCTAGATTTGAGATTTCCATAGGTAACCTTTATTAGCATGAAAGAGTTATATTCTATTATTAGTTTATAAATGTCTCCATTTCTTCTTATCTTGCAAGGGTACTGCATCTTTAAAAATTTCATTTATCAATACTCAGATACTGAGATTATTATGTGCTTTTCGTCTTTATTTTATTAATATGGCATCTGATATTGACCTCTATATGTTCCACCACTCTTGAATTCCTGGTATAAATCCAACTCAGCTATTGTGTAGAAATCTTTTTATATAATGCTAGATTTGATTTGTGTTTTTAATTTAAGACTTTTGTGCCTATATTCATAACATATATAGGTTTCTAATTTTTGTTATGCTTTTGTCTGTTTGGGGTGTTAGGTAATGTTAGCCTCATAGAGGAGTGTTCTCCTACATTTTTGGAGTAGTTTTGAAGATTTGTAGAAATTGCTCAGTAAATTAGAATTTGGCAGCAAAGCAATCTTCTCCTGGGATTTCTTTGTGAAAGTGTCTTGTTCTGTTTTGTTTCTAACTAACTCAGTCTCTACTTCCTATAGATCTTCCAGATGTTATATTTCTTCTCACTTCCATTTTGATAGCTGGTAATTTTCTGGAAATTTATGCTTGTCAAACCACTAAGAGATATTATTGCCTCTCAACTGTTAGAGTTGCTATATCAAAAAGTCCAGTGGTACCACAGTACAGGTATTCTATAGTATATGTTTAGTAAATGATAAGATTATGAAAAAAAGGGAACTGGTAATAGGCGTTTAGATTGGTGTGGTCATTACAGAAAAGAGTTTGGAAGTTCTTAAAGAAATAAAAAACAGAACCATTGTATAACTCCACAATCCATTCTTTGAGTATATACCAAAAGGAAATGAAACCATCAATTCATAAAGATACCTGCACACCAGGTTCATTGCAGCGTTAGACAATAGTCAAGACACTAAAACAACCTATATATAAATAGATGTATAAAGAGAGTGAAGTTTTAAAAAAGAACATGGGAAATGGCATTAAAGAATAAGTTTATTTAGGTGCTAAAATTTTTTAATCTGTGCAAATTTTTTTCCATATTATGCATGTTCATAAACTTCTGGTTCATGGACATGGGCTATCTTGTTTTTTGTGATTCCTTCAATCTCTACACAAAATCTTTATAGTTTTCAGTGTACAGATATTTCACTTCCTTGATTTATTTCTAAGTAGTTTAAGAGCATCTTTCTATGTAAGCAAAATATTGTACCACAGTACTAGTATTCAACAGTATATATTTTTTTTTTTATTTTTTTTGACAGGCAGAGTGGACAGTGAGAGAGAGACAGAGAGAAAGGTCTTCCTTTGCCTTTGGTTCACCCTCCAATGGCCGCCGCGGCCGGTGCGCTGCGGCCGGCGCACCGCGCTGATCCGATGGCAGGAGCCAGGAGCCAGGTGCTTTTCCTGGTCTCCCATGGGTGCAGG